AAGGGACTGAGGAAATAGCATTCTTTGAAACCAGCACTGCATTGCAACAATATATTTAATGTGGTGAAATAAAAACTTTTCGAGTTCAAAGTATGCACTCTTGTTTTTTCTCTTCAGAGTTCCACTGGGCATGCCTATCGTCATACGAGTGTTTCTGACGGTACTAAGCTAATTTCTTTACCACTTCCCCAATTTGCGGTTCGAGCGTAGAGCAGCTTTTTTTTTATTTTGGGTCGGGAGAGCCGCGGCACCGCTAGAAGGCAAGCACGAAGATCTGCGTCGCCGCGAGTAACGGTGATGCGATGACAACGTACAGGCGAAATAAAAATGCTGGCAATACTTCAAATTCAGCTTGTGGGTCGGCGTAAGCGTTCGTGACGACAGAGCATATTTTCGTATCGAAAAAGGCAAGCCTTCATGCATGACATGGTTCACATCCGCCGCGTCGGCGACGAACCTGCGCGGCAAGAATAGCGGCGACATCGAGACCCGACGTTGGAAACCGAAGGGTCGACTTCGGAAACCAGCGGTAGGCGTTGGTAGTAACCTTGCTTCGCTCTTATCAAGCGACGAGTTGAGAAGGCTAAGAGAAGTACTTGCGCCTTTTACGCACTCCTGTGCAGAAGCACGATGCGAGACGTCGCATACTGCAGGCGTCGCGTAGTGGCGTCACCGCGTTCACAGCGTCTCAGCCGCGACTGCGTCGATCGCGTAGGCTTCCCGTCTCAAGCGTTTCTGGCTTCAGCCGCGACTGCACCGATGATCGACCGCGTACGCTTTGTGCTTCAGGCGGCGGCGGGCGCCATGTTTACCTTGCCACAGCGGCGCGAGTGACGTCATGTCACGTGACAATTCGCTAACCAATAAAACAACTGGTTTCGGTTTGGAGCGGGAGTGACATCAGGTCACGTGACATGACAAATTGCGTTAGCGGAAGTGACGTCATGTCACGTGACAACGGGCGTGGTCAGGTGCTGTACGGGATATGGTTTGCTTATACGCGGGACTTTAGGGATTGCATGCTTTCAGGTAAAGCGGTATCGTGACCAAACGGCCATATGTACGATCAAAAAAACATCCCCATCTTATGCTACCGAAGCCCTATGGCGCTTGAAGCCTCATATCAAGTTTCTTCTCATTTATTCAAAGGATTAAAACAAAAAAGGGGTTTGCGTGTTTCAAGTGCATTTGGGTTGTTTACACGCTTCTAAGAGTGTACCGAACGTCGATTAATATATTTAACCCAAATAATCGTCACCATTTAATCGGTCATCTGTCATTCTCAAATAAATTTTTGGAAGGGTATTTAACCCGGTCCGTGGAAGATAATTGGCTCATGTTTAGAAATGTACTTACCAATTTAATCAACAGGTTCATTCCTCTTATCACCATCAAAACTGTAAACACCGCTCCGTGGTATAACCAACAGCTTCGACGCCTCAATAACAGAAAGAAGAGACTTTACCGCCACGCCAATAAAACAGACCCCCTTTCAGTTTCCTGGTTACGCTATAAAACATGTGATAAGGAATATCAGTCACTGCTTACAACAACTAGACGTCATTTCTTCAAACATGATTTATCATCTATGCTACTAAATAACCCTCGGAAATTTTGGCGTGTCATTAATCCTGTTGAGCATCCTGATATCGTCCTTACCGCCAGTAATAATGACGTCATTCCCATGTCTCAGTGCGCACAGGTTTTTAACGACGCATTCATATCAGTATTCACATGTGAAGACATCTCGTCATGCCCGAAAGTTAACCTCATTCCTGATATCAGCATGCCAGAAATAATAATAACTGAAGCGGGTATATACTCCTTACTAAATAAACTCAAAATTTCTACTGCTTCTGATCATGTCGGCTTTAATAATAAGATACTAAAGAATATATCAGCTAGCATCTGTCCCATACTGTCAGCCCTTTTTTCACAAATGTTATCGTTAGGTTGCATCCCACATGACTGGCGAATCGCAAAAGTAATTCCCATCTTCAAGTCTGGTGAACGCTCATCGCCATTAAACTATCGTCCCATCTCGTTAACCAGTACCATTTGTAAACTTCTTGAACATATAATACACACACAAGTAATTAACTACCTGGAAGATCATAACATCATACATAAATATCAGCATGGTTTTCGCCGAGGATACTCATGTGACACGCAGCTCGCCGGCTTCATTCATGACATACATTCAGCTCTTGACGGTGGATCCCAGGTTGATGCTGTTTTCCTCGACTTTTCTAAAGCTTTTGACCGTGTCCCTCATCACCGGCTTCTAACCAAACTGTCCAGGCTTAAGATTCACCCTAACATTTTGGCATGGGTAAAAGATTTCCTTTGGTCTAGAAAACAGTTCACGTCCGCTAACAATTGTAACTCTTCCTTCAAACCAGTAACCTCGGGAGTCCCACAGGGTAGCGTACTAGGTCCACTACTATTTCTAGTCTACATTAATGACTTGCCATCCTGTGTCTCATCCCGAATTAGAATTTTTGCTGACGATTGTGTAATTTACCGAATAATTTCCTCTGTCAATGACCAGAAAGCTTTGCAAACTGATCTAAATGCTATTAATGCATGGTGCTCTTCCTGGCTAATGACCCTAAATTGCTCTAAAACAAAGTTTATGTCTTTTACTAATCACGTACCCCGGATTCCTACCTCCTATGTGTTAAATAATAATACTGTTGACCTCGTCTCCACTTATAAATATCTTGGAATTCATTTGCAACCTGATCTGTCATGGCACTACCATATAAAGCTCACCCTGGCGGCTGCTAACCGCTCTTTCGGATTTCTCAAGCGTAACCTTAAACAGGCTCCTCCTAACATACGCAAACTTGCCTTTTCCACACTAATACGTCCAAAATTAGAATATGCATCAGCCATTTGGGATCCCGAACATGCTTACATCATAAACGACATTGAATCACTGCAAAATCGTGCCGCTCGCTTCATATTTTCAGATTATTCACGTCATTCCAGCGTCACAACACTAAAACGCCGAGCAGAGCTACCCGAACTACTCCATCGTCGCAAACTTTCACGCCTATCTCTTTTCCATAAACTTTACCACCACGCGTCACTTCACGGTGATTTCTTCGAGCCACCTGCCGTTATTTTTCCACGCCGCGATCACCCCTACAAAGTTAAACGCATAACCTGTAAGTCATCTGCCTTTTCCCGGTCATTCATTCCACGTACCACAATCGATTGGAATAATCTACCATCGCACATTGCCTCAGAAAAAGACACCACGAAGTTTCAAGAACAAATTCAAAATACTGATGCCATCTAACTTTTGCTGTTTTACATTGTTGTTTCATCTTTTCCGGAACGTGCAGAGCAAATGTGTACTATTTTGTTTTTACCTTGACACAGCTTTATTGCAGTGTGATGAGTGAGTGTATGTTTTTTTTTTTTTATTCGTTTTTGAGTGTATCCTTTATTTTCTTTTTATTATTAAGTGTATTGATTGTTTTCTAGTATTCTCATATGTTGTTCAATGTGCACTAGTTCCTATTGGAACGATTTATGTACCCCCCCTATGTAATACCCTCTCACGAGGGCCTTTAGGGGTAATATGAATAAATAAATAAAATGAATCGATTCATCGATATCGTTTGTTTTCATGCATAATATTTTTAGAACGTCGAAATTACTTTTTTTTTTGCCTTTGCTGAATATGTTTTAAACGGCTCAATATGCAATTTCGATTATGAATAGAGCTTGACGTGTAGTTAAGAACAGTTAAAAACATTCACACTCACAGATTCTCACTTCAGCTGCATTATGCAAAGGGGTTCGTTGATATTCTCAGGCACAAGCAACGTTACTAAAACTCTCAGTTGGGAAACTCGCCGTCGAAACCTGGGCCGCTGGCGTCCACCGAGACCGAGCTAAATGCGACAACAGCGCCACTCTTTATCGTTTTTCTGTACTGTGGTCACCTTGAGCTTTCTGAAAGCCTGTTTTTGCGTAAAAACAAACGAAAAAGACTCTTTTTGTATGAAATTTATTGGAGTTTAGTACCAAAAGAGGGGCGCGTTATGTTTTTAAAATTTTAGTGTGCAGGGTTTTGCGGCACAGTTAATATTGTTTTTATACAACCATGCCTCAGCGGGCCTTTCAGATAGCACGTCCCGCCTTAGGTGCATTTTAACTTCGGTAGCTCAACGCGGCGTGTCCGCCGGGGAGACGGGGGTGGCACCCCTGTAACCTCTACCGCTGTATCTGTTCTTAAAGCCAAAATAGGAGTCACGTGGAGTTTGTCGAGTGGCCGCTGCGGGAGAAATGGTGGCGTTGTGTTCGTCATTAGCTCGGTGCTCGGAGACAGTTTGGGGCCACTTTTTCAAAGCTGTCTCTATGGGAGTTTCCCAACTGAGTGTTTTAGTAACGTTGGGCACAAGTGACCTTTTTTCATTCCCCACAGTATAGTCTCTGCGGCACTAAATAAACACTCGCACGCCGTTAAAGTGGCCACGACATCTGTTACTTCCTGCACATCGTCTGGAATTACAAATCTCGCTCCTACAGGTTACTTTAAGTAAGAATTTCTCCCAACGTATTCCCTGCACACAGGTGTACCCGTCCACGTTTGTTTGGTGAAAGCGTTTAATTTTTACTTTCTGTTGATTTGGTAAAATGTTACCGATTAACCGGTTAAAAATTTATCACGATTAAAGCATTATTTGAATAATCGGCTCATAGTGCAATAACAATGTTAAGGTTGCACCAGAAGGACATTATGAATATCGGAGGTCAAGTAGATCACAAATCACTGGTACCATATATGACACCCATTAATGTGGAAAGAGCACGCGTACCTTCTGTATGTTACTGTAGATTTCAGGCATAATAATAGAATTGTTATTTGCAAAGAATTCATCTGTTTTAATAAACCAGTAAAACACCAGAAACAAAAACAAAAAACATATAATCTGCAAAAGCTGTTCTAACTTCGTTTGCCGAAATACATTTCTTTTTTTCAGAGTTCCTTGACAGGACGGTGAAATATAAGGTTCTGAGTACGAATTCTTCTTGTAGCATTTTAGAGAAACCAAAAAACAGCTATGGAAGTAAGTGTTTTATTCTATTTTGTGGGTTTTTATCGGTCACATCACATTACAACTCAGTAAGATTAGTAGGTAATGTAGAACCAAAAATTCCAACTAATCTCATGTCTTCTTCATTAAGTTGTAATTGCCTAGAATTCTATAAATTCCAGCGTTGCGCAGACATTTTGAATGCGTCTGTGCCAAAGAAAATCTTTTGCTTTAGTTAGCTGGGCCTCTAAACCAATTCTGCAACTATCAACTGTGGAGTCTACGTGAATTACCGTAGAAGAAAAGAAACAGTGAAATGTACGGGATATATTTATTTGAAGTTATTCTACAATGTGTTGCATGTTCAGACGCACCTTGAATTGTAGGTTTCAGAAAAGGGGACCGAAAAGGGTACAGGTAGCGCGTTAGTTTTTTTATGTAACCTAATAATCTACTCGTTACTTTTCCAAAACAGTACCGGTAACGTACATACGTTAATTATTTGTAACAGGCAACGTAGTTACGTTACTTGTTACATCTTCCCAAGGCGTGAAAAGAATACACATAAATATTTTCGTGTTTCTACATTTTTGTTATAGGCGCTAAGTCATAAATTGTGGCACTCATTCTACGTACCTTCAAAATGGTACCAGTGTTTTCTGCGCGCAAAAAAGCCCCGCTTTACGAAAAACCCCACACCCTCGCCCTTTGTCTCAATGTCAAAAAAGCTGTCGCAAAAAAAAAAAAAAAACGCTGTTACCGTCAGTTTATGTTTAAAAAAACACGCAAAAGTCACGTGCGTTACATTTATCGGCCACGGTAACGCGTTTCATTTATTTTGAGGTAGCGTATGTCTGTAACTCTTTCCTTTATTTTGCAAGTAGCGAGTAATGTATTTCGTTACTTTTTTTGCTAACGCCTACAACACTGCCTTAGCCTCGCGCGCGCTTGACAGAGCTTGAATGCGTCTCTACGTTTGACCAATTAGGACAGCGAAAAACAAACAAAACTAGCAAAAAGGAAACCCTTTGCGTACAAAAAAAAATAGGCTTTGGCCTATTGATCCTGCACACAAGGGGTATACTGTTGATTCGAAGCACCGCAGCTGTGTTTTTGCCGATTTTTGTCCGCTCGACTTTTTAACCGCTCTGAAGGTACATCGAAAACGACCTGAGCCCAATTGCTCCAAGCGGTAACCGCGGCTAAAGTTAGCCGCAGTACCTAGGAGAGAGATTTTGAAATCACGTTAGTGGCTCGGTAGGGATGCGGGGAAACATGGCAGTGCCCCGGTGAGTGAGCGCCGCTCGCTTTAAAAGTAATAGGTCGTTGTAGCTGCAATATCGGGCGCGTTAGTCAGCAACGAATGGTGCAGGAGGTTTTCGCTTTGCCTTACCTCACTTAAATCACAAACATGAGCAATGACCTCGCCGCCATATTTAGATAGTCTTTCGATTCTGGCCATTCCTAAGTCTAAATGAAAGCGATAATTGTCGGTATGGCAACGTCTTTAAAAAGCGGATTGCCTTGACTCAATCGGCCGGGCATTGATAGCATACAAAAGCAGACAGCGTCCCAACAGACCTTTTCGAATGCCTGCCACATCGCTTCCCCTTCTCCGACTCACCACGGCTGGCAACGGCTCGTTGTCGTGTTCAAACAGAAAAAAACTGTGAAAGTTCAGCTTTGTTGACGGAGCGGTGAGCCGTTCACAAACCACGGCGCCAGTTTGCACAACCCTTTACGGAACTTCCCATAGACGCTCCTTGCACAAACAGTCCACCCCTCTCTCTCTCTCTCTCTCTACCCACGGCTCCCCACCACAGGTTCTGGCCTCCCATTGTTCGAAGCGCAACGCCTAGATCACGTTTTACCGTCCTGTACGGAACCCACAGTTTTGAATCGAAAATCTAGACGGTGCTTCGAACGACGGAAGGTGGACTGAAGGGATTGAGGGGGGTACCGCCCCTCCATGAGAGTTCTACAACTGAGGTAATCTACTAACGTTGATGCGGGCTGCTCAAGATGCGCAAGCGCAGTTCGCGCCTAGGTTTGACCACTCTGACCAAAGTTATTAGATCAACTTGGTTATGGAACTCCCGCGGAACGAGTACTCTTCCTCAAGTCCGCCACCTGGAGAGCCTATTTTACAGAGAGTTTCCAACTGTTCGGTCGGGGTCACGTGGTTTATTTGAGACAGTACAAACTGCGAGGAGGAGACAAAAAAGTTAACCGTCGGTAAACGTCTCAACCTTTCTGCTCGTTTTCCTCCTCGCTATCCGACAACGCAGCGCATGCGGACTTGTGATCAATATCCGCGGGATGCGCCTGACATTAAATTGCAAACGCTCCCCATGTTTTGAGATGGACTCCCTCTACAATCTAGGCTCTGTACCATAGAGTTATTATAATGTACGCTAGAGGTTCAACTCGCGCTAGTGTGCTATTGCAAATTGAAGCAGACAGCAAGCAGTCCGAAATTGACTTCCGGTAATGTATTTCTATGGAAAAAAGCGAGTGCATTTCCTCTCTGCGCTCGATTATAAGAGCAAATATCACGAACAATTCGTACCTACTAGGCACATTAGAACATTTCCCAGTCATGCAGATAAAATAATTGGTCAGTTACGGCGTTTTTATTTTAAAATCGTGGCATGAAAAACGGTGCTTAAACTGTTCGGTACATGTACTTAGGTGCATTGTCGGACACTGTTAGCGCGAACACTGCGTCGGCACTTTCCTACATGAAGGATATACGTGCCAAACGATCAAAGGACATGTGGAAAACCAGAAGAGACGGCAAGAACTACGCAGTAACACTGGATAAGTAACTCCTTGTGCTTGCAGACGATCAAAATAAATTGAAAGTCACGTAATATAGTTCGATTTGCAATAAATAACTACTGCTTTATTCTTTCTGCTTATGAATATGTGCGAAGATGCTTGGTCTGTGCTCAAATCATCACCCGCAAGCTCCAAATCTTTGCAAATAGGGGGAAGCCAGAGAACAGGTGCGCGATAAAAACTGCTCGATATAGGAAATAATAAGAAAACACACCTTTCGTAGCCCACGTACTTTATTCCTTACGTTTCGAACGTTTTTTTAGCAACTCGTAAAGATGCACGACGAGGTCATTTTCTTATAGTGAGAGAACAGGCATCTATATTAGCAATATATAAGCACCAACAGAATGCTGGCGGACTTTTAACACACTCTACATTCCTTTCTATCGTTATTTTGCTTTTAATCGTCGGTCGTTTCTACATACCTGCCATGGAACAGAGGTTTGAGCCTGAAATATAGCGAAGTTTAAGATTGTTCAGTGGTAAAAGAAAAATGCTGTAACTAAAGCAATTACACTTTCACAATAGTAATAAAGGTGCATAATATCCGGTACAACCGAAATAACAAACGTTATTCATGTTATTTTCCGGCGACAAGACAAAATTCACGCGTGTTTTCCCATAGGAATACACAGGCAGACTGGAAAAGTAGACTGCATGCTGTCTGCTTCAATTCGCAACCGGAAGTCCCGTAGACACTAGCGCCAGCTGAGCCTCTAGCGTTTATTATAATAACTCTATGCTCTACACTGCCACCCTTCGTTTGAAACGCAATTTACAGGCTGCATTTCAGAATTGTTTCCTACGGAGCCGCCTTGAAACGGCACGGTCAAGCGCCATTTAGTTTAGCAACACCATCTATAGAGTCAAGGCCGGAGCGCTCCTTCCGTGACGTCACCACTGGAGGGGGGGCCGAGACGGGCCGGCCGGCACATTTTAAAACCATGGGGCGAATCCAGGGCCCTGATTGGCTTATTTGAACGTTCCGCACTCTCGCGAGCAGGAAGCCTGGAGACGACTGTGACCCTTTCGTGCTCGTTGCTTGTTGGAGATGAGACGGCTCGTGACGGTAAACATAGCAACGCTGACGGGGGTGAGGACACGATGGCGGGCGCCGATCTTTTCCCGGCGAAACAACGGTAATTTTGGCGGCGAAAACATCCCAACAACGCGTGGTGGGACCGCTGAAAGCGTCGGCCTGCGTGGAAATAATCCGCGTGTAGAAGCACAACGCTGATATAATAGGGAGGTTTAGAAGAGGGTGCTTCTACGCCCGGGGGTCCCCCTAAGAAATAGGTGCTCGCAACAGCGCATGCGCACACACATAAATGGTTTCTGGGTTAGCGCTGCCCCTAAGGCCCCCAAGGCAAAGAAGCCCTAAGAACAAGCTTTTATTGATACCAACAACTTTTATTATCTAGAATGTATTTTAGGAATAACAGAAGGGCTAGGAAACAAATTTTTTTGCACGGGAAGCCACTTGGCGCCGCGGAACAGTGCTGACACGCAAGCATTGAGAGTGGATTCGCATTCGTAGCTACGCGTTTTTATTAACGCAGTTATGTTTTATTACCTAGAATAATAGTTACACACAACAATTCAGATAGAAAAGTGTACACGGGCAAATGTTTAGGGCATTGTAAAATTGAGGCGCAGTGTCAGAATAATACGTGTACAACGATGCCGGGAAAGATGGGTTTGCTTTTAAGCAAACTTCTTTAGTGGTCTAAATATTGCTCGGAAAGACAGATCTTTCATAAACATTAATTCGCACAAAATGGCATGCCATCAAGTGATGTGACATAGCAATACAGTTTATAGTAATATAATACATACGAAACCAGACTCTCAGCAAAAGTGTTGCCTACAAAAGAGATGAAGATTGTTGAGGAATTCTGTCTCACTTTCCAGATAAAACAAGCTAAACGTATACTTTATTGTAGGGAACAAAATGAGGCGAATGAAGTAGAAAAACATTCCATTTGAAAGATGTGATACCTACCTCAATATTTCATATCCATTTTCTCTTAATTAATCAAAGTCAATTCAATTAGTCAAATTGGTCACAGCTTTGCTACTCAGGCACGCATAAACGTTTATGATTTGCATCACTTATCGCCCAACAATATATTTTTCAAGTCAAATGGCTAACTTGCACCGCAACACAAACATCAACAGGAGAAAAGCAAACCCTAATTGACCTAATTATTAATAATTGATTACTCCCAACCATACAGATATCTGTCAAATGTTTACTTTTAAGCCTTCTTGACCTAGCTCCGTCGAGAGATGGAGGTCCTGATCAAGACAGGGATAGGGACGGGTTATTCTAACTGAACAATTCCGCTCGCGTAGCATCTCATGCGAAACGCAAATGGCATAAAACGTTCTCACCCCTTCAAGGTATTCATGCAGTCAAGCCACCGCTACAAGTAAAATTTTGATACTACCCCCTCAGTCAACGGTCGAGTGATGGATGCTTCTGGCCATCGTTCGAGATACTTCGTGAAGTCTTTCGAGCCACAGCCAAAACAAAACCTAAAAGTCGTAGCATAAAAACAAAATCACAGACGAACACGCACACATGACATTAACGGAAGAATCAAGACACAAACGCTGCATAACGGAACGCACATTTGAAAGCTGACAGTGCGTTACGTAACCTAAGACGTCGTCGTGCTTGGGCTCGCCGGTGACTTTTATGCATCCCCTTATGCAGCGTCTAGACGTTCTTTGTAGACACTCGAATCTCACAAACGTCCAAAAAGGAACAATAGAACATCCGGGGTCGAGACCCATGCGGTTCCACCTTCCGACCCGAAGGCGGCGACGCGATGACAGTCGTTTTCTGGGTCATTAGGCGGTGGTGTTGTCTCTGCCGGTGTACTTAATATACAAACTTTGCAATCACAGAGTAAGAAATAAACTAAAGATATATCATGTTTGCTTTTTAAACCGCTAACGTATACATAAAGGTGAATTTAAAATTATATTTCCTAACAGTCTGAATACGGTAGTGCGACTACGATTTTTCGAATAACCGAGTGCCCGGAAAGAATGAAGAGCGAAAAGGAAGAGCCTAGACCAGGTGTGGCCAAGCTGCTGCGCTTCGCGGGCCGCATGCGGCTCTTCGCATGTTAAAGCGCGGCTCGCGCCCCCCTCCCCAACCCTCCCCCTCCCCCGCCTCCTTCCGGTCACACGAGCACTTCCCCAGAAAGAGAAATGGAACGCGTCTTAAAGCGAAAGACAGGTTGCGGTTTGTTAGTTTTGTTCTACTGCCACCTTACGTACAGAAGGGCCCTAAACTCGTCAAACACAAACTTGGAGCCGAAAGTTTGCGATGCGCTCCGATTGGACGTTGGCGAAAAAAGCGCTAAGTCATCGTCGTATTACGCCAATCGGTGCGCTTCGTCAACTTCGGCCCCAACTTTGTGTTTGACGAGTTTAAAGGCTTTGGACTGCTTTTTTTTGACTCGGATAGATTGAAAGTAGTTCGAGTTTCGTTCATTGCTCTAAACAAAAATTTTGACCCCCCCTCCCCTTCCTTCCCCCCCCCCCCCCCCCCCCCCCCGGGCGGCTCTTGAAAGTTTTGAGGTTTTATTTGGCGGCTCTTATTTCGGGTGAGCCTGGCCACCACTGGCCTAGACCAAAGCAAACCAAAGGAGAAGCCCAACTTCCGGAATTGCTTCCGCTTTCTGACGCTCGTGACGTCACGCCTCCATGCGCTGCAGCCTTTCCTTGGTGTTGCATTTACACGCTGTGCTTCAAAGCCTGTTTAATCTAAGTCACCATAAGAGACGTTCTCCAAAGAAATAGTGACGCTCAGAATGACGCGAGGCGGACCAGGCGGACCTTGGTGGGAGGGTACTGCTTGTGGGAGCAGCGTATATGAACGATTCCGTAACTGAGTTAATTTAAAAACTTTGGCTTTGACGGCACGCCACAGAAAGCTGTTAAAGAGAATAATGGGTAAATGCGATTAAGCTTGACTACAGTTAGCACACTATACTCCTAGGCAACTTTCTGTGGCTATACAGTCGAAGCTATGGTCGAACATGCGCTTGCGCATCTTGGGCGCCTATAAAGCTGTGCACACATTATTAATGCGAAAGCATTAACTGTCCCATGGAGCGAGCTGACGTCATCAGTATGAAGCGCGAAAACGGCACCTAGTTTCCCCGATCCCAAAGGACAGAAGTAAAGCTGATGGATTTCGTCTTTGGTTCCATTGGCTGGCGCGCGCCAACGAGGCTCCCATTGGCCGCTCCGCTCGTCAGTTTCCACGACCGCTCACCCCATGGCGCTGCGTGTCCATCAGCGCGCCGTTAACACCGAGCGTCCAAGGTCAACGTGCCCAAGGGTGCATGCGCGCAGACCGGCGACGACAGGTGCGCAGCAGACGAAAAAGGAAGCGGACGAGCGGCTTGCATGCTTTCGCGTTCACAACTCATAAGAAGTGCTTAGGTGTACCTCGAGCTTTTTACCTTATTCTTAAAAAGCTCTCGGAGAATATAATGTGGCAACGGCGGTGATGCTTAACCGCCGTAAGGGCGTGCACGGATAACTAGGATCTAACTAGGGTACACAACGTTCTCAAACGGTACTGTATGTATGGGCCACTTTCATAAAGTGCCGCTACAGCTCACCACGTCAACCGCGCTCTTGATCGCTAAATACTGACGTCACCCTTTTTGACGACAAAGCAAAACGTTAGTTTTGGTTTCGTCAATTTTGTTTTTACGCAAAAGAGTTTTATTTAAAATCTTGAGCATATTGCTAGGCTCTACAGGATCGGATATTACCCTTTTATAAAAAAATGTCTAAAATCGTCTTCATTTTCCTTTTTCCACATAATTTTTTTTAAATTTTCAACTTTCCTTTTGGCGAAGTATTGTGAAAATTTATATGGACGTTAAGTTATAGACCTAAGCTTTCGAAGATTGCGAAAGAGAGCAGACAAGTGTAAAGCCTGTTGTTTTGTTTCAGAGTGTGCGTACTGGGTCCTGTACACAGGTGGAGGTGGCAGGGTTGCAAAGTGGTGCAAGCCGCCCAGGAAGCCTAAGTGCGATGTAGAGATACACACCCTCCAAGAACCTGGGAGATGCTAGCCAAAGCCCTAAACGATTCCACCAGGAGTGTTTACACTTAAGCCTAAGTAGTTTACGTTTGTCCCAAAGCGATGTGGTTTAGGTATTGAGTATGGAAGCCAAAAACTATTGAAGCATTTCAACCTGGAAAAAGTAAAATAAAAATAAAGGCGTCGTAAAACACGAACGAGTGACATTCTCGCTTTTAGCGCAACACCTTAATTGTTATGGCATGGAGAGAGCATAATGATGTTTTCCCCATACTGGCAGTTGCGCCGCTCGAGATGGCGACAAAGACAAAATGCAACAACCCAAAACAATAACAACAAAACAAATAAGCCTTTAGTTGTTTAGACAGGGGGAGTTTAGTCAGCCAGTGCATGGCGACAATGTTAGCCACTGTACATTAGTAATTTAGCCAGTGCAGTAAGATTGTTAGTCTGGGGTGATTAACGCGCATAACGTAACAGTAAAGCGCGAGAGGCATGCACGTCAAAACTGCCCAATCCGACGTGCGAACTGTCTGACCGACGGTCAAACACGAGGGTTTTCGTCTCACCTGAGCGTCCAGCTGCGGCATGCGACCACCTCGCCAGATATTTGCCGCACGGCTGTCCGATTGTCGGAGGGCCGCAGCCAATGGCAGCAGAGATGGCGCAAACATCACGTTGTCACGTGACTATCGGACCGATTGGGAGAGGAGGTGCTACGCGGCCCTACAGCCGAAGAAATGTTTGCAGAAATAATGAACGGACTTGGGGGCAATTCACATAGAAATTATGGAACTAACGACACGACAAGTTGCTACTGAAGTCTTGATCGGCAAGATGAATGCAAGGCTTGTTGAATTTAATAAACTACTCTAGGAACGCAGGCAAAAAAAACGGAACGAATTCAGCCACTTCAAGTTAGAATCACGGATCTCAAGAGGGATGTCAATTTTTCAAGTGGGAAACCTACAGAACTCGAAGACCGAAGCCGTAGATCAAACTTGGCGGTCAACGGGATCGTTGAGACGAAAGATGGGAGGTTCAGCAGTCATGAAACGCTTTTCCAACTTTTTCCTGTTTAGCTTTCCTCCTCAACTGATAAATCGCGCATTGTACCAAACAGTTAAAGAAGACGGAAAGGGGAGTCCCCTCTTGCTGGGAATCTCGCTTGTGTAGCCGGACACAGCCATTGTCCCCCTGGAAGATTAGCCCGTCGCTCAAAATTCAGACAAGTTGCTTTCCTTACCCTGTTCACTCCAAAGCTGACAGTGCTGTGGAAGCTACGTGCTCGTTGGGCCCCGGTCACACTTTTGCCACGTGATCACGCTCTCTCGCGCATACCGACCCGCAGAGAATGAGGTCAGGTGATGAAAGGAAAGCGGCTAATTGGTCCAGCAAGCGCGTAGCTTCCACCACAATGTCAGCTTAGGGGTGAAGAGATTAAGTGAGGTCCGGTGTCGGTGTCACGTGCGTTTGGGCCTGATGACGCGCTACGGGCGCCCGGTGACGCGCTGCGGGGTCCGCGGATGTATTACAGTGAAAAGGCAGAGAGCTTACGAAGGGAAGGAGGTACGAAATAGTCCGCTGTGTTTTCAAAATTTTCGTACCAAAAGTCGGTTTTCTGACTTCCTACCTTTGTTTTTTTGGCCCACTGAACGATGCGCTATTAGTAAAATCCCAATATAAATTGATTTATTCCACTCCAAAATTCGTTTCATGGGCCCTTTAAGGCTAAAGTGACTACAGAGGTTCTGGACGGCATACTAAAAGTAACCTGCAACACTCTTTCAAGGATCCACAGGCTCGGCAAATCTGGTGATAGAAGACCTGTCATCTTTCAAGATTTTAATGAAAAAGTAGCAGTACTTCGATATGCCATGAAGTTAAAAAATACACGGATATTCATTCGCAGCAACTATACACTAAGTACACTGCCAAACCGTCGGTCGCTTTGGCTGAGCACCAAGGACGATAAGAAGCAAGGGAAACAAGTTTTGTTATTGGTGCATGACCAACTCCGAATAAATTATGATTGGGACATCTGGGATGACGTTGCTAATTTCCGGGCTCGCTTAACCCCGTACCGGCGAAGTTCCAGTGAATGACGCAATTATGTTCTGCCGTATCTGAACGACTCTGCATTTTAAACATAAACGCACAAAGCATTGTTAACGAAGTTGACAAACTGGAACTTCTTTTATTGAATTATGACCTTCATATTACTGTAATAACTGAAACGTGATTGCATGATGAGATTGGCGATGACAGCGTTGTCCCCTCCATCCTACAAGAAATTCCGTAGGCACCGTCCATCACGTGGTGGAGGGGTTGCTGTAATATTGAAAAGCACTATTCATGCTGTGCTTTTAGATCAGATCAAGAATCATGACAGCTTATGTATGAAGCTGAATTCCTGGGGCAACAATATTGTTCTGCACGCAGTGTATAGAGCACCCAATTCTCCACCCGACTTTCTGAATCAGTTATATAACCACATATCCTTGTGCAGGAACAATAGGCTTGAAGTCATTGGTGATTTCAACCTCTCCAGACATATATTGCATAATTTCTTCAGCATGACCCACATGTTACTGTCGTAAGCGAGACTTGGCTACATAGTAACATTGCCGACTGCGAGGTCTTTCCAAGGGACTATAGCGTGATACGGAAGAACAGAGAAACTAGAGGAGGATGCGTTGCCATTCTCATAAAGGACTCTCTAACGTATGAGGCGTTGCCTGGTATTAACGACCATGAGAGCGTATGGTGTAAACTACTCCTTGACAAGATGATCTTGCTAATTGGTGGCGTGTATAGGGCCCCGGCTACTGAAATTAATTTCCTCCAGAAAATAGACGATTATTTAAAAACAGAACTAAAATTATCCTAACGGGCAACTTTAACTTGCCACATATTGATTGGCATGAACTAAGCCCAGGCAGAGCGGATAGAGAACATGGAGAATATTTATTTGATATAATGCTTAAATATGTACTGACACAAGTAGTTAACGAACCAATCAGAATTCAGGGATCATGTCAATCTGTATTAGATATCTGCCTGGTATCTGATTACTTTTTGAACTACAAAGTGTGTGTAAAGCACGGAATATCAGATCATAAAATGGTCATCTTGACAATAGAGTTGGGCAGTCTGTGCTTTCAGAAAACGGACCCTAAAATTGTTTATGATTTCACACGAGGAGACGACACATCAATATTAGATTATGTCGAACTATCTTTAGACCGCATAGATAAAAATAATGACGTAGATTATTTGTGGGGCTATTTCTCAAAAAGCAGTCGCTTACTGTCTTGCAAGATTTGTTCCGAAAAGAACAATAAAAAGTAACAAGTCTAATCCATAGATAACACGGGACATAATTCACCTTAAACGCAAACTAAAACAAACAAGAAAGCAGAAAAATAAGAACGCTCTAGAGATTGCTAATCTAAGCCGTGAAATACGATCAACGGTCAAGGCTGCTAGAACAGAGTTCTTTTCGGCTACCTTGAACGTTTACTTAAGGGATTCGCCACGCAGATTCTGGCAGTATCTGTCATGTAAGGAACATAGAGTTAACAAAATCATAAAAGATGGAAAAGTATGCAACAATCCAGCAATTGTGGCGACTGAATTTAAGAAGGTTTTTTTTTTTCATTTTGTTTTTACCGAAGATAATGATCGTGAAAGTGTCATAACCAATGTTACTGGTCTGCCTGAAACAGAGATTGTAGTCTCGTATGAGGGTGTTCTTTCCTACGTAAAGGACACCACACACTTTCTTAATCATATCGACCATATGAACGGATCCGGCTTAATATCACGGGAGAGCATTCTGGTCACTATCGATGTGAGCTCTTTGTACACTAACATCCCACATAATGAGGGACTGGCAGCCGTGGAAGAATTCCTTTTTCTTCACCCTTCGTCTCTCGCAGACAGTAGCTGTATTCTGCGATTACTGGAATTAATTTTAGACTGCAATAACTTTATGTTTGATGATGATCATTATTTGCAAATTCAAGCCGCGGCCATGGGGTCGAGAATGTCCCCAAATTACGCTAATATTTTTATGGGCAAGTTTGAGGGGACCTTTGTGTGGACTTACGCCAAGATTCCCGCCATATATCTTCGGTATATTGACGATATATTTATCATTTAGAATGACACTGAAGATGCACTCCTCTCTTTTCTAAGTTACCTCAACGGTTGCCATCGTACAACTAAATTTACCTGTAATTACTCAGCAAACTCTATGAACTTTCTCGACGTTAACGTTAAAAAGATGGGAAGCCATTTGATAACGGAGTTGTACAGAAAGCCTACAGACAAACGTCAGGTTCTACACTATGATAGCTACCACCCGAAATGTCAAAAAAATAATATACCTTACAGCCAATTCCTCCGGTTGCGTAGAATTTGTTCTGAAGAATCGAATTTTAAGGAAACGTAACGTCCTTGAAGAATACACTATTCAAAAGAAAATATGCTGCATCTATTCTCGACGACGCCACAGGAAAGGCATCCGCTGTAGAACGTAGCACACTCCTTGAATCCACACGACAGCTTCACTCCAACGAAACAAGGGTTCCGTTGGTTATAAACTACTATTCGAACCTATCAAGCCTGAATTCCATATTGAAACGCCATTTAAACATCCTACATGCCGACGATAAACTTAAAAAATATTTCCCGAATCACCATTTGTCACATTTCGTAAGCATCGGAATCTTGGGAGGATGTTATGTCCCTCGTATATAAAAAAAACCCAATTCATGCGGTGGTTGTGGTCCTTGCCTCAACACTCCTTGCCAACTTTGCCCGTTCGTTTCGACCGCTGATAAAATTTCGAGCTACGCATCAGATTTCTACGTAAATACTAAACAGCATATCGACTGCAAAACCCCTGACGTGATGTATATTATTAACTGCACGCTGTGTAAGAAGCGATACGTAGGAGAAACTAAAAATACCATGAAAGAGCGATTTTATGGCCATAAGTCTGACATTGTAAATAAAGGACAAACA